AGATGTTTTGGGAATTTTATAGAAAAACAAATCTGTTTTGCAATTCTGCACAAATAAAAAATCTATTTGCGGTTCTTCAAACATAAATTGAGTATATTCAATGTTTTCGACATTTTCGCCAATTACGCTGCTTTCGACATTTTCGGTATTTTTGCCTCTACGCGGTTTTAAACATTTTCGCCTATTTAACAATTTTCGAGATTTTTACATTTTCCCGATTTAGGACACTCGACAATTTCACCAATTTAATGATTTTCAACATGGCATTTTGGAAATTTTCAAGATTTTTGACATTTTCGCCATTTCGAAGTTTTTAACCATTTCGCCAATTTCACGATATTAGACATTATCCCAGATTTCGCCATTTTCGCAATTTTTAACATTTTCACTGTTTCAATATTTTCGACATCTTCACTATTCACGAATTAAATAACTATAATTATTATTACTAAATTTTCATTATTCATTATTAATAATATTGTTAAAACTCATTATCCGATCTAAGAAATGTCCCAAACACTTCATCCGCCAATGGCGAACAGTTCTTGTTTTTCAATGCCCAATTTGTCGCCCTTGACCCATCAACGCTGTCATTCTCCAGGAAATGCTTGAAACTCCTCCCAAAACTTTATGGCTAGCATATGCTTGTTGATACTGTTCGAGAAAAGTCACTTTTGTATTTCAATTAAAATATATTTCCGAATTTAATATAAATATACTCAGTTTCATAAAAGAATATAGTAATAACTGCAGAACTATGTAGGTGGCCTAGGTTTAGGCACACAGGATCCGAGGTCCTGAGGGATCGCAATAAAACGCTAATGCATTTTATTAGCATAGTGTAAATAGGTTCCAAACCAGGGCGTATACCTGGGACCAAACCGATACCCGATGCATTGACAGAGACGGGTCAAAAACAACTTCAAGCAATATGAAACGGCCATATAGCCTTGAGGCTAGGTCATCCCCTCAGCTACGAAACTTCAACCAATGAGAAAAAAACTTGGAAAAAGAAGTCTAAAACAAGTTCAGGGGAGAGACAGTCATTAATGAGACAGCCAGCCGTCTAAGACAGTTCTGATGGAGTCAGTTGAGAGGCGTAGAGGGTCAGCAGTGGCAAGAAGAGCTCGAGCGAAGCGGACTTAGAGGTTTGTCCAGAGATGATTTTCCAGGAGTAGAGGAAGTCAAGAACAGACCTCGAGAGAGATGACGGTGACACCAGAAACAAGGAAGAACCGGCTAAGGACTCCACCATAGAACCAAATAAGTCAGAAGATCCATTTAAATATAACTGTGTAAACTTGTTTGGCAGTCAGTGAAAATAATAGAATCAGAAACTAAATAGCTTTTCAATCAATAACTTAAATCAGTCTTCATACTAGCATTCTCACTAATGCTTATATATGTGTATTTTTGTTGTTTTAAATTATAATTAGATTAATTTTTTGATAAAATCTTCAGGAGATTTTAAAATCGGCAGGAGAATGCTTTAATCCTATGAAGAAAGTTTTTCTGAACAAGATAAAAAACATCCAGATAAGATCAGCTTTAACGATGATACAGGAAAATTTCCCAAGAACGGAAGGATCACGTTAGAAAGTAATGTTAACGGAAGAAGTTCTCGGGAAAGGAAAAACTTGGTAGGAAGGTGCCAAGGTTGCATTTGGAAAAAGATCGGATTTTGTGGATACGGCATGACAAGATAGCATGTCACATTGCTCACATCGGAATGGAGATGCTACATTAAAGATACCTGACGAACATTTACTTTATTGCATTATGAATGTCATTTAACAAGATTTTTGTGAATTTTGCTAAGATATTATAGTGGTCTGAAAGTGCAAAGGAAGATATGAGTTGTCTTTTCTAGGATGAGGAGGTAGTTTATTCGTCAACAGTGTACATACATTCAACTTAATTCTATTAATTTCCTTTCTATTAATGCTTAATTTTTTTTTTATTTAATGAAATTTACAACTATATAAACAAAACAACTAGTAAAAATGCGCAAATTAAAAATAATGACATGAACAGACTTGAAGAGATACTGTCCAGTGATAGCACTCCTATTTAATTCTAGGTGAGAAGATCACGAGGCCATCTTCTTTCAGACGCCTAGGAGGATTATCAGGAATCGAGGAAGAAGCAAGGCTGGAAACAAGTGGATTCGGATGGGACTGGAGTTTATCATGAAAGGATAGGTATCTGGCTCGGGCTAAATCAGCGGCATATTGAACATTAAGATCTTCATGAATGGTTTTATTTGTGACAAAATGTGGGGCATTAAGGATTTTGGATTGCAAGGATTGGATACGATAGGAATTCGATGGTTTGGTAGAACCCCAAAGCTCAACTCCATATGTCTATATAGGTCTTATTATGGTTAAGTAGATGAATCTTTTGTAATTAATTGAAAGTTTAAAGCGTTTGTCTAGTAAGTGTTGGAGCAGTCGGAATACTGCAATACCGGGTCAATCCGCGACAGAGGTGGAGCAAGCCCCACTCCGTCATTTTCCAAAAATCAGTTTAATCTTCTGGACCCTCAATGAGGGTCGTACCAGAGATTGATTGCTTAAATAATTCTAGAACTAGATTAATAAATATCGCCCAACGTTTAGAGACCGGAACAACGCCACAGATGCCGCGGTTCTTCACGTATGGTATAGATAGTTATGAGAGCTTGTAGAGAGATATTTATTTGTTTATTTTTGGCGCTCCAGTCATGCAAGAATCTGAGTCTCTCTCTTAAAAAGTTCCTCCACTCGGCTCAATCCAATGCAAGCATTCGTCAGCTTTGGATTCCAAACGTTATCTGGATGTACTCCATCTTGTCCAGCCATCTCAGGCGTGATCGTCATCTACCACTTCTTTTACCAAGTAGAAAGTGATAAAAAATCTTCACTTCTGATGTTTACACATCAGGCCGTAGATCCAGCGGAAAATCCTTTTCTCTCATGCAAGTATTTTTCTTTCTGAAGTCTAAGATGTCCCCCAGGACTCAGAACTATATATTATGGTGAGTCTTATGGCTTTCTGATTGCGACAGAAGAATATTTTGTAATATTTCGTTATCCTCCGAACTATTACTATTAATAAAGCAATGAAGAAACCACAAAAGGTATAAACCTGTATAGACCTGTCCCCCGCCAGCTGTAAACAAAAGCCGAGGTGTGATGAAGAAGCTGGCCGCAGTGAGCAATTAGACCGCCTGGGATCGATCTGTATGGCCTACCTCTCCCCCCCCCCCCTTCCTGCTCCCCCACCTTCTGCAATATCTAGCACTTTATTTCTACTTCGGCTTGTTCTACATTTCTAACATTAATTCTCAGTTTAGTATTATCAATCTTAATCTGTTGATTCATTGTATTTCGATGGCACTTAACAGAAGGGAAAACACCCACAATATTTGCAAAAATGAGTTTAAAGTATTTTTTAATCGGCTTAGTCCTTCCTATTTTCATCTTTTGGTTTATGGCTGTTAGGTATTTTCTACAGAAAATCGAAGTTGAAAAAAAAAACCAATTTCAGTTTTGGTGAATCTGACATCAATTATTTCTCAAAAGCATTTTTATGTTGGTTCATCATTCCACTATATCTTTAATACTGTTGATTTTATAATTTAGATTTTTGCTTTCTCACTACCGAAGGTAGGGAAGCATTTTGTTCGTGCGAGAGGTGAAAAAAAATGTTTGCTCAGAATCGAAAGTTTCCACTTGCGTTTTACATTTCAAACATCAAGGATCAAATTTGGTTCGGTATCTGTCTGTCTGTCTGTAATCAAATCGATGTTACGGGCATATCACCTAGTACTATTCATCCGATTTTCAGGGATTATGCGGATTAGTGCCTAGATGGTCCCATATCAGTTTTATCAAATTCCATCCAGTACTTCCGCTTACGCACGCGCTAACGTATTTTTTTAGATATGCCAATGTTTCAGAAAGAGATCGTTAGATTTGGCTCAATGTTGGATAAAAGGTAGGTATTGGAGAAAAAATAATGTAGTGCCACTTTTTTTTAATTCTGTTCACTACTTTCTCTTATATATGAGCTACTATACTGCGCGCGTTGTTATAGACTGTATGCAGCGCCTAAACGAATGTACCATTTCAATGAAACTCAGCTAAAGTCATTTTCTCGACGCCCTTTAAATTTATCTCTGTAACACACTTCAACGAAAAGAAGATTTCAATATGGAGATCGGCAAAATTTAATTAGATACTAAAAACTCATAAATACCTATTTGATTTTCACTTTAATCGTATGATAATATCACGACTAAATCGATAAAGAAGTGGTCTATACAAATATTGGGCCGTTTAGCGTGATCTTACGCTCCAAAATTTCAAAATAACGAGATTATATAGGCGAAACGGGCCAATATTTTTGTAGTTCACCTTTTTATTTCGATTTCGCGGTGATATTATCTTACGATTCAAGTGAAAAGCAAATAGGTATTCCTGAGTTTTTAGTGCCTAATTAAATAGACAAAGTTTGCCGATCTCCAGATTGAAAACATTCCAATTACTAGAATTTTCGCAAATAAAATAGTTGTAGTTAATGATGAGATGAAGCTATTCAAGACGGATATTAATAATGTGATAAAAAAGGGGTCTGTAAATTCGATACTTCTCCATGAAATTCCCTGTCGTTTGATACTTCATTCATCCAAATCTATCGATCCTGCTTCAGCAATCAGGATCTATACTAGTGTATTATATCTCGTTAGTTATTTGCATAAATTCATTAAGTGATATTTCATAACCTAAACTAATCAAGAACTTTAAACAATATTTCCTTCATGGTATCAGAAATTGTACTATATTTGATGTACTAAAGTAATTGTTGTGCCCTTTTTGTATCAAAAAATAAAGTCGAAATTCATAAAAACATTCCTGAAAGTTAACCTAAATCAAAAATACACTTAGTGACTTTTTGCAATAAACCGATGATATAAAGTAGATATTATGCTTATCCTACCATAGCAACGTTAACAGTTTAATAACATCTGGCCTATAAATAGAAAAAACTCAATTTTAATATTTTTTTTCCGATTAACGGATTCATTTAAATTCAAGCATTAATTTATCCAAGGAACAAGTAAATTATTTATTTCGTTTTTCAAATGGACCGAAAATTCCTTCCTATCCTTCGTGTGCCGCTACCTACGGAAGATGAAGAGCCAAATAATAAAAGATTCATTGGTGAAAACCGGTTTAAGGAACCTTTGTCAGGAATTTTAGAAGTTCCATATTCATTGAAGGTACGACATTAAATATAGTTGCTATACATATGTCACATGTATCGATTCGAAGTTTACATCGATTATAAGTATCACAAATAAATAAGATAGGAAAGGTTATCTATATGATACTAAAATAGTAGATTAGTTGGTTTTATTATTTGTTGAAGTTCGAAAACATATAACACGATCTGTTGTGGCGGCGATTTGTGTTCGGTGGGTTGACATTGTTGCTGAGAGTGCACTGAGGAATTGATAAAACTTAATAATGCCTGTCTTTCACAGGCAGATTTTATAAGTCTAATGTATCGCACATTTGAAACAAGCCTTGCTTATTTTATTCGAACCTACCAATAGACAGTCGAGTTCTTTCTAGGCTGTTAGATCAAATCATAGTTTATGCAAAGTATACCTATAGCTCATAGGAGTCAAATACTGTTCTAAATGTGATAAAAGTAACCAGAAAGAAACCCTCCAGCATATAATTATGGAATGTTCTGCCTATAAAAATCAAAGAGATCAATTTTTTAAATTCTTATAGTTGTGATAATCTTAAAAAATGATTAACATCGAACAAACCTGAGAAAATCATCAGTGTTACACAACACTTGCATTAAATTAATAAATATATTTAAAACGAAATTAGTAAACAATAGGAATTCTTCAACTTCATAATATTATGATTGGCTATATGGATAATTGCAATGCTATACAAAAAAAAAGGAAAAAAGTTCTATAAGATACTGCTCCCACATTAATATAGACAATTAAGAAACCTAAGAATTTCTTTGGGTTCTTTTCTATATTTCTATAACTTATTAGAGTAGAAAGAAGGAATATTTTGACCTACAAAAAAAAAAAAAAAAAACCTGTACCATACTACTACAACCCATGGGTGCAGTTAGTGTTGCCTATAATCGGTCTTGGTCTTGCGCTTTGCAAGACCAAGACCTAGGTCGCCTAACTGTTGCAAGACCAAGACCAGGACTGGTAAAAAAAATCGATTTATTAAATAAAAATTAAGGTAAAATAGTTACTAATACTTGACAATCTTAGTTGCTACATGTTAATAATTGGTATAACCAATATTCTTTTGCATTTAACTCTTCTAATTTTTCATTCGGGCTTAGTTAGGTTTCTCCTATCTAAAAAATTACAGTAATATCTCTATAGTAATAAGCTAATAAGTAACTGCAAGACTGTTGCGAGAGTCTTGCGCAAGACCAAGACCATGACCAAGACTGAGTTTGCAAGACCAAGACTCGTCTCGGTCTCGCATTTGGGCAACACTAGGTCCAGTACTATGTGAGGAAGTACTGGTATAAGTCCAACGGTTGTGCAGGGAGGTGATTAGGCCGATATCAGGCTTAACCGCCAGGTTTTCCCTCTTAATTAATTATTTAATTGAGAGTACCCACTTTACAGAGGCTGGGTGTGCCCAAGGAGGGTCTCCAGGAGGTCCATCGATCCACGGCTAATGAAAAATGACTAGTCATTAGCCGGACTCGAACCTGGGACGCTGAGCTCTGGAAGTCGGTGCTCACCCAGCCCCGCTTCCTTGTAATCGACAAAACGATTTCGAAATTTTACATTTCAGGATTCACTATTGTTATGTTGCTTTTTGTTTCCTCTATTCCTTATATCCGCCTTCTTCGGCTTACCTAACCGTTACAATACGATTTGTGAGAGATTCCAGTCCGGTTGGAAAAGGTAGAAATTTATATCGTGACGGACCTATGAAATTGAATTTCGACCATTCATCTCTGGTTAGAATGGGTGGATAACCTGTAGGATACTGGCCAGGTAGGAGAAAAAAAAAGTACAATTATCTAGCAGATTTCGGTACTTTCGGAATATTTTATTACAAACAGCATCATGAATAAACCAAACCCTATTGAGAGAGTTATACTTGACAATTTTCTTTAGCGTTAAATTTAATATTTTATTTGAATTATTGTTAACACTGTACAAGTGTGATTTCACCTTGATGTGAGGACCAAGATCCCATGATTATGCTATATGTGGGATTCCGAGAATAGCCGAAGATGGACAACGTGTTCACAATGTAAACTCCATATTATTAAGATTTACGACTTTATCAAACTTCTAAATGGTTCTTTTCAGTTGAAATTAGCTTTAATTACAGCGGCGTTAATTAGCTTTAATTACACGGCTCCTTTGGAATCCTGCTCACTAAGCTCGCTCTTAAGGGATTAACAATCCCTAGCGGGTCCTTTCCACTTGAAGTCGGCGCCTTGCCTGGCGAGTCGGTCATTTTCAAAATGGCGAGTCGGTCAAAATGACCGATTATTAACTTTCTAGTTTCGAAGATACTCGGACATTTTCGGGATTCCATTTATGGTGTGATCATCTGATCTTGTGCCGCTCACCCAAGTGGAGTGACTTGTACACTCTTCTTCTTCTTATTCGGCGTTACGACCCATTATTTGAGTCATATCCTGCTCAAGCTTAGACCGCCAGTCCTCCCTGTTCCGTGCTGCTGCCTTCCAGTTCTAGGTTGTAACTCATAAATAAATTGGGTCAAATATGGCAAACCCATATAGGATTGCAAGAATACAAGATACCCTAGTAAATGTGACAGTGAAAAACATTCATGTTAGGAAGAAATGTATTTTAGTTTAAATTCAATAATTACCCCCATACCAGACTGAAACGACTAGAAACCGCCCGACGTTTTCTACTACTGCAGCACTTACTAGACAAACGATCTAAGCTTTCAATCAATTATAAACGACTCGTATATATGACAATAATAAGACCTATTTGGACTTACGGAATTGAGCTTTGGGGCTCCACTAAACCATCGAATTCCTCTCGTATCCAATCCTTACAATCCAAAATCCTTCGTAAAATCCTCAACGCTCCTTACTTTGTCACAAATAAAATCATCCATAAAGACCTTAATGTTCCATATGTTTCCGATCTGGCCCAATCCAGATACCTTTCCTTCCATAACAACTGCAGAACCATCCGAATCCTCTCGTTTCAAACCTTGCTTCCTCCTCGATCCCTGATAACCCTCCGAGGCGTCTGAAAAGAAGATGGCCTCGGGATCTTCTAATATAGAACTTTAATTTGAGTTCTACCAATGGGTAGTTTCTCTTCATGTTGTACATGCCATGTTACAAATTTCTCATTTACTTATTGTATTCTCTATGTAATACAGTTGTAAATTCCATTAAAATAATAATAAAAAAAAATTCAATAATTAAACTAAGAACAAATATTTTGTAACCCATAGTAAGACAACAAGATGGATGAAATAACTATTATCAGATTAAATTGTCTTCGATGATGGGTGAGTAGCCCGAAACATTAGACAAAAAAAATATAATAAAGATTACTATGGAAGAGAAACTTTTCATTATATATACCGAGAACCGTTGTAACACTTCCTTTGATAAAATTAAAATATCAAATAATATACTTAAAATTTCTTACGTGAAAAATTTTTAGAATTCAGAGTTGCAATTTTGCACTGCTAATGCAAATAATATAATTTAATATAAAAATAATTTTGTACCATTCCTAAATTGTTTGTAAATTAATTGTGCCAGTTTTGGAACTATCGCTTTAATTGTATGAATTATTACTGTTTTGAGAATAATTATGATAAAATAAAGTTATCATTATATCAGTAATAATTTTTTTACAGCTCATCACACCATCTTTGATTCATCACTATGCAGATTTGATTATGTTCTTGCGGTACGATGTAAAGAAATAGTATCCTTTTCATAAAATAGAATATATTTTATTTTTAGTCAGAATTTGGTTTGTAATATGTGTTTCACGGTTCCTGACAGAAGCTAGGGTGAAAAAGGAAGTAAAAAAGTGTAATTTTTCTTCAAACCTTTATAACAATCTTTATATCAAACCTTTGTACAATTACATCTCTGATTATCAAATTGAACATCCGATAGGAATAAAGAATAACTCCTTCTCATAACCATTTTGTAATTAATTTTTACAAGAAAAGATTGCATGAAAAATATTTAATTATTTTAACAAAACACTTAATACAATTTACATAGTTTTATAATTCACGAATAATAAAAAAAATCTAACTGATGTACTGTGGATTAATTCTGACAAATTATTATGTTCTAGAATGCAATAAATTCACAACTTCTTTCTATAATGATCTGCTATAAAGTATATATAATGTGCATTTTATAAATAATACTTGAGATACTAGATCATTATTAATTGATAATTATGATAATGATTTATAAATGTTTGACCTAAAACCCTGGCATTCCGCCTTCTTATGATTTTCGTGCCAGCGATCTTTTATAATTAAAATTATCTTGGACTAAGTTCAATTAAACAAGCCTCTTGGCACGGCTTGGATCTTTGGGGTGAGTTCAGAAGAAAGGGGAGGAAGAAGTCCGTAACAGACAAACAGTATGAATATTTTTTATCTGCACTTTAGTGAACATGACTTTAGAGTTGCATTTTAAACCATTAAATTATATTACTATTATGATCTATTAAATCATGATATATTTTAAACATAATAATAATTGTTGAATATTTGAGGGAGCGGCGATTTAAGTGATGTAGTTATAAGAGACGATTAAAAATAAAAATAAGTATATTAGTTCAACAATTGTCTATAAAAATAGATACTTAAATAATCGAAACGACAGTGATTAAAAAAACAACAATTTTTTAAAAGAAGTTTCAAACAAGACCACTTTATATTGTTCAACCCAATTAAAATTGAACAATAAATTTAATCAATGAGTTTAAGTCCCAATTGTGTGTATGTTTATGAGATATGTATATATACGGTTTATCGTAAGTAGATGGAAATTTTTAAAAAGTTTTACAAAAATAACAGTTACAGAAATGTTCATATGTCTTTGGTATCGATATTATTATTATTGAATATAAAATATCATTAACACCATTAACGAATGACATCGATATCGAAATGAAATATTTGAAATATTTAATAAACATACCGGTATTAGAGAAAAAAAAAAATAAGTCACGATATAATTTTTCATCACCTTAAATGATAAAGTTTTTGATTATTATTTAGCTGTTATTTTTCTTCTATTTATTTTAACTTTTTTGTATATATAGTATGAATGTGGTCTTACCTCACTATAATTATTTTCCAAGTGACAGAATATTATATTATTAATAAGTAAATAAATAAAAAATATAAATTATTGAAGGAAGCTAGCCGACTGTTCTACATATCATGAGTGATAAATATTCTTTTAAAAAAAAAAATTATTTTTTATTTTTGCCAACGTTTCAACCCAAACATGAAGCCTTCAACAACTTGAAAGCCTTCAGTGCTCGAACCACGCCCTGAAGATGACCCACATGTTTGGGTTGAAACGTTGGCAAAAATAAAAAAAATAAAAAATTTGAATATTTATCACCCAAAATTATATAAAGAACGAAATTATCACTTCAATCAATCTCCTCCTTATGAAATCAGAAATATTAGTCATAATCAATTGCTACTTTTGATGACCTCAAATAGACTTATCGTACTTCCAAGGTCAACGGAATGTCAAAATCGTGAATTTACGAAATTTAAATACGGGATTTCTATTGAATCTTACCTTGACTAATGAAATTAACAATTTGCAGTTTCAGAGGTAATCATACCTATTTACTTAAAAATTCAGTGAACAAGCACTTTAATGAGTTTTATACTCAACAATAAGTGAGGAATTAATAAAATCTCAATGAATAAACATTACCATTTAAATATAAGATTTGCATATATTTACTGTTTAATGCAGTAGTTTATAAATAAATTATTTGTTAAATGCTTATCATTGAATATAATTAAAGATTTTCTTAAATAAAGAAATGTAATAAAAAAATATTTCGAAATCCGATTTTTTTCGATATTACGGTAATACAGAATAGTTTGTTTCGATACAATATTTGGCGATATCGAAAGAAAAATAACGATATGGGTATTACTGCAAAGTCCTTACTTCCGTCTAATTGAAAGAAGATAGTAGATTGATTGGCTGGATTTTATTTTATTTATAATTTTAATGAATTTTAGTATTACTTATTTGTTTAGAAACTACTCAAAGCTCAATAACATTCTTCATTCATATCCTTCCTTAACTTGGTGCTACTAGCCCGAAGTTGGCCGTGATTGAGAACGGACCTTACCCATACCCATTCATCGAGGTGTACAACATAGAACTGAAAGTAAGTGGCTCCAACTCTTGCATGTTTTAACAATGTCAGGCGTGGCAAACTAAATAACTCTTCTTCTTTTAGTTATTATACGAAATCGACATCACGTTCAAGTCGAGATACCAGCTGAACAAGCTGATGAGGGACTACGACCAACTGCCCATCAACTGCCTCGAGAGACTGTGCCCTCCGGACATGCCGGAACAGCAGCTGCTGAAGAGCGCCAAGAGGAAGGCCCAGCTCATGGGGATCGGGATGTTCCCGTAGGAACGTGTTAAAGGATTCGATGCCCTGTGTATTGTACTGAAAACGGAGTGATAAATGTGGAGACCGTGATAGTAATAAATTAATACCCAACTTGTCTTAAAGCCTCGTTTAAAATATACTTACAATATTATTTCTTGAAACCATATATTTCAAATTTAACAAGTTTACAACAGGATAAGAAGCTTGTTCATATATTATAGCACATCTACTTTTCCAAATTCCCATATTTCCTAAGCATATATTCACACGGCTTAGCATGCCTTATTTTCAAGAATGTCAGTGAGGTATACCTATGAGGCTCAATGAAACCAGTATCCTCCCAAGTTCTTCCTAACTCTTCTTCTGCAGCTCGTTATAGCTTCTTTCAGAATCCTCCATTGATCTTCTAATTCAGGATCTTTATGTCATGTTTCTTTCTTTATGTTCTTCATCTGATGGCTGTACTGTTCTTTATATCTTTGGCGAGTTTCAGGATCCTTCAATTTGCTTGCGTTGATTTTTTGCTGATCCTCCTCTTTACAGTGAGGATATCGGAGATTCTAGCCTGTATTCTTGATATTACCAAGCAATGGTCAGAATCTATGTTAGCGCCTCGAAAGGTTCTGGTCAATTTGGTTGAATGTTTTACCATCCTGAGATTTCCAAGTATTTCTGTGGTTCCTATGAAATAAGGAACTCCCAATAACCAAATCACTTGAAAAGGCAAAGTTGACTAAACTCGTTGCCTTCTTCATAGAGGCTCCATTTCCCAATCGTAGAGCGATAGTTACCTCATATATTCCGACAGTTACTAACGTCCTATAGTATGATTTCCTGTCCTACAGTATCATTTAACAATACCTCAGTTATCCCTGTTGAACGAATCCGATGCCTAGGACTGCACCTGGACAAACTAACTTGGAATCCTCCTACCATTCGCTATAAGTTCACAATTAACTACAAAAGACTTATATACATGACTATAGTAAGGCTTGTTTGGATATATAGAGTTGAGCTTTGAAGCTCCACTTAGCTATCGAATTCCTTTCGTATCCAATCCTTCGTAAAATCTTCAATGCTCCTAATTTGTCTCAAATAAAATCATCCATAACGACTTTAATTTTCCTTATGTCTATCCGATTGGGCCCAATCCAGATACATATCCTTCCATAATAAACTTCTAAACCATGTGAATCCTCTTGTTTCTAATCGATTCCTAATAACCCTCCGAGGCGGCTGATAAAAGGATGGCCTCGGGATCTTCTAATGTGGAACTATAAATGGAGTGCTACCAATGAGTTTTATATTGTATTCTGCATATTTTACATGTTATATTATCAATATTAAATTTAATGGTTTATTGTCGAACCGAATGTTCGTTGCGACACCACCAATCGCTATTGTAACACATACCTCCCTCCATCGTTCGCCGTTCCTAATACCTATTCCTTCTTTAGCATGTGCTTGTACTGCATATCTTTCCATCTTCGTTTCGGTCTACCCTCGACGTTTACCATTCGGTACAGCAAATATTAATCCTTTTTGGTATTCTCTCGTTACTAAGCCATTTTACAGGCCTATTTGATTCTTCGGAATTGTAATCACCTCAATTATTTTAATTCTCGTTTTATTTCATCTGCTAATTTCGTTTGTTGTACTAGTACAGTCTGTAATATCTCTTGTCTACATAGATCTCTTATCTTTTTTCGGTGCATGATATAATTCCTACGCAATACTTTATTTTCAAAAAACCTTTAAGACCATTTGTCTCATATCCTTAATGTAAGCGGCGCCTGAATACATTCGTTAGAATATTATCATTTACTAAACTTACTTTTATATCTTTTTATTTATCCTGTTTGTAAATTTCAATAAATATATTGATAAAAAAAAAAGGGACACTACAATACGATTTCGATACTGCCAGCCGAAGCAATTCTAGTAATATGTACTGAGAAATAGAACCATTTCTATTTTGTCTCTGTCAGTCAACTTTCACTTTTTTTCTTTCTTGTTACCAGTGGTTTCGGATTACTAGAAGTTCGGTTTATCGAGACTATCGTATATTTGAAAATAATAAAAATTGTGTAATCATTTGCAATAGTTTAAAATCCTAATAAATTTTCTCCAGTTTAGCTTTATTGAACTAATTAAACTATTTTACTTCTGTTTTTCAGTAAAAAATGAGGTGAAAATTTGACCTCAGTAACGGAGCTATACTGATTACGCTTTTTTTATTTACTAAAAGGATCAGTTTTTTTTTTGTTACTATTTTTGATTTAATAATTGACCCCCTGATGAGGTAATGAGGGAGATGAGAGAGAAGGTTGAGGAAGTGATGAGAAAGGTGGAAAGCCGGGTTATGGAAAGTGAAGGGAGTAAACAGAGAGGAGATAGAGAAATGGGGTGTGGCTGCGTCGATAGGGCTCTGGGTCAAGGTTGTTCTATCGAGCGGGCCCACAAAGGTCACCCCGAGGAGGGGGGGGGACACGGCCATTTTGATATACACCCCCAGCTGTTTATATCTAGGGCTACGCCTATTACCGTCGCTGCTCAATGGCGTAATATCCCTACACTAAAAATATATAACGATAATAATAGAATTTAAAACGATTATTATTTTCAAATATTACTAAAAGACTGTTTGAGCTGCATTGATTAATATTGGGCAACCTGTTGACAGCGACACCACGCTTTGGATAGATTTTAAGAATCCGATTGTCTAGAATACGAAATAAAAAATATTTAGAAAGAGTTTATTGTATACAGGGTGTCCCGAAAGTAGAAGGAAACATTTATAAGAGTTATAGCAGAAAAAGGCGGCTTTTTGGGCGGCTAAAATAAGCTAAGTTATGTTTTTAAAAAATTCATTTTTTTTTAGAAATAAAAAGTGTATTTATGAATTTATGTTTATTATAATACATTCCAGATCATGAAAAGACAAGAAATAAAAGCTTTGAAACAATTCGTTGTAATCATTTTTGGTGAAAATACTGGTACTTTTAGGTGACTTCGTTAAAAAATAATATGTGATAAGCCATAGGAATGGCATTTACCTCTGCAGAATAAATCATCATCATCATGTATGGCACAACATCCCGTTACCGAGACTGGGCCTCCTCCAAGAGCCTCCGCCAGTTGGCTCTGTCTTCTGCTGCAGCTCTCCAGTTCCGCACACCAAGCAGGGTTCTCGCATCATAGGCCACGTTGTCCAACCATCTCGTCCTCGGCCTTCCTACCCGTCTTACGAGGTGCAGCTCCTCCATCATTATTTTTTTTGGTATTTCAAGGGTGCTCATTCTGGCCACATGCCCTGCCCACCTTAGTCTGGCCAGTTTAATATACGTGACTACGTCGATGTCTGCATAGAGAGAACTGAGCTCCCTATTTTTTCTTTTCCTCCAGACATCACCCTCCTTTACTGGACCATAAATCCTTCTGAGGACTCCTCGCTCAAAGACACTCAGCTTCATCTCATCCCTTTTATTCATCGTCCAAGCCTCTGAGCCATATGTCAAAACAGGCCGAACAAGGGTCTTGTATATGATCAGCTTGGTCTTCTTTGAGAGGTACCTACTTCTTAAGTGTCGGCCAAGTCCAAAGACACATCTATTGGCAGCCGTGATCCTTCTTTGTATTTCTTGAGCCATGTCATTCTTGCTATTAATTTCAGACCCAAGGTATATAAAACTTTTCACTCTCTCAAACTTAAAAGAACCTACCTCAAATGGAGAGTTCAGATCCACCTCACCGCCAACTCTCATATACTTAGTTTTCCTCTCGTTGACTTTTAGACCAAGTGGTCTTGCAGCTGCTTCAAGGCTTATAAACGCTTCTCTGAGAGCCCGTTCAGACCTACCTATTATGTCGATATCATCAGCAAAACCAAGAAGCTGTGTCAAGCGATTGAAGATTATATCTTTGGTCTGAATACCGGAGTCTCTTACAGCTTTCTCCTCTGCCAAATTGAACAATAGACCTCTGCAGAATAAATACTACTAAATGGATGTAACTTCAGTTTATGTGTGGTATCTTTGGTCACAAAAATTGATAAAGTTGCTGATTCAGATTTGAATCCGTCAGTGAAAATTAAATGATGTTCCGGTAATGCTTGAATTAGTTTTTGAAATAAGCGGTATTAATAACCTAAGAGGTGGCCAGGTAAAATGTGCTGAGATGGTTTATATCCTGTCATAGGATGCTGTGAAGCTGCTGACAAAATTTGCAGATCGCAAATTTAATTATATGTTTCCCTCTGATTTAATCAAATGAAAATAATTGTTTATAGTAAAATTTTTCACAGCTTTTTTCTCTTGAATCATAAACCATTGTTCTCTGCAAAACAAACACCAATCAACATCTTTATTGTTTCGAAACGGGTCTTCAAGTTTATTTCTTTCCAAAAAGGGCCCTATTCAAGTTTCAAAGTTTTTTAATTGCTACTGGAATAATCAAGTTTTTAGAAATATGTTCTATAAATACAAAATTGCTTGACTTATTTTTTTTTTTAATTTTGTTGATATTACAATTTGAATAGAAAATATAGTATTTTTTGTTATTCTGAAAATTATTAATAATGATCAGGGTTCACTTGGAAAAATAAATGAATAACATGAGAGATATCATAGAATAAATTATTGGGATCTTGTAGATACCCCTAACATCTCTTCCCCAGATACCAACCACTGAACTGAAGATAAAGTTAACTATGAGTATGCTTGAATAAAAATGTCTTAAAACTTTATTATAATATAAATCTATTGTGAAAGTTAACAATAATTTAAACTTTCGCTAGATATTTCTTTAAAAAATTGAATCATTGAGGACGATATGTTAAGCAACTATTCAAATTATGTTTTTAATAGATAAATTGCTCATTTTCAAAGTCACACTACATCTGTTATTTGAGATTGCACTTTTGCTCCACAAGGAAAATAAAATGAAGAAAGAATTTTTTAAAAAATACAGATGCAGGATGACTTTAAATCAACTTTATCTACAAAAAAATGTAAAATGTAAGTTGTGGATTAAAAATAAAGAGACGAATGGTGCTATTTTTTTTTACTATAGAAAATAGAAACTATAATCTAGAAAAATTTGTCCATGAAAATGGGCTAAGAGCCTGTTG